ACAGGCTAATTTGATATTATTGCATATGTCATTCCAGTGAGAGCACTCAGATGTGGATTACAGTCCTACTTGACCATGGTTTGGAAGCCCCTCCTGCTTATTTGGAGGAAATGGGCAGCTCGTTCACCTATGACCCCCCCACCCCCAGTAGTGGAGAGACTGCCATGACAGTACATGCACACCTTGACACCAGCAGGACATAAAACAGTGAACTACTTTTGCACGCAGAACTGATTTGCCAGCTTCATCATACAGATACAATTAGAGGGTTATACCCTCACAACCAGCGAACAATGGATAGAGCTCATTCCAGAAATGTCAAGTGAGGTAAGAGCCAAGCATGGTGCTTTACCATTATGACCAAATCAGTTGTGTGGTGCTCAGCCATGCTCCAGTGAGTAGGGTTATCCATTCTGGTTAGAAGCTGCAGCAGAAAAAGAGCTTCAGTATTATTCATATTGCAGGAGACCCAAGTTGAGATCAAGCCTCCACTGTGCGGTGTTATGAAAACATATTGTGAGAGATGCGGGGAGCTGGGAAGAGTGTATGCTCTAAACCAGCATTGCTTGATCTGCGCCTGGGGGCCAGATCCGGCCCATGAAACTGTGTCACATGGCCCACAGGGCTCGCCACAGGTCCAGAAACTTGGTGGGGGTGGGGAGTGGTGATAATGAGTGCTGTCACCACTTCACTTCTTCCAAATCTCCACGGCCTCTGGCTTGATAACATAGCCCCATGTAGGGGCAGGGCTGGGGATGTGATCCAGTGTGTGGGGGGCTAAAGCCCAATCCAGCATGCTCATGGGGCTGGGGCTGTCACCTCATCTGGGGAGTCAGGACCAGAAACCAAGCCAGCAGGTAGGAAGCTGCGGCCCAATCAGCATGCACAGAGCTGGGGCTGGGGCCTGATAGCTCCCATGTACTGACCCCATGGTAGATGGGCCCCAATTCTGTGAACTGGATCTAGCCTCTGGACTGAACCCAAACCATTCACCTAGCCTGCAGGCCAGAAAATTTGAGCACCACTACTCTAAACACATGAATGATAAGAGAAAGCAGATGGTTACGTGACTTGCCCAAGGTCAAGCAGAGAGTCAGTAGCAGAGCCAGGAATAGACTCCAGATGTCCTGCTGGAAGGCCAGCTCTGTATGAGCTGGACCCTGCTGCTGGTTGAACAGAGTTGGGAAACACCTTTTGTTTAAATAGTTTATTTCATGAAACTAAAGGTAGATTGATCAAGACTATTCACAAATCTATGTCAGATTCCCTGAACTGTCTCAGCCACCAGAAGAATCTGTAAAGATGCAAAAATCACAACATTTCATTTCAATATATTTTTAAATGAAACATTTCAATTACTTATTTTGAAGGATGCTTCATATAGTAACTTACCTAAACTTAATCATTAAGAAACGGTAGAAGTCCCTTGAAAATTAAACTGAGTGTTTTGTTTCAGGCTGGATGAATAATTATTCACATTGCTCTTCCTTCTTAAAATGTGAGACATTACAATGAGTTAATTAGTACTTAAGAAAAAATATGTCTCCCTTACATGAGAAGAGATCTAGCATTTTACATATTAAAAAGTCTTGTAATAATGTACAGGAAGGCAAAAATACAGCTATTTCAGCGCCCATAGTGAAATATTGGGAGGTCTCTGATGAGCATGAAATGTTTCCTACTTTTTGCCACAAACTGCAAACCAATTACAAAATGTTAGTGTACAGAATTGACAGTAAAATAAAGACTAAAAAAATGCGCAATCATTTAATCAAATCTCTCTCTATTAACATGAGATAGTAGTCACAAAAATATCCACAATCAAATGCTTAAGTGTTAAAGTGATGTTGTAGCCACTGATGGTCCAGGAATTATGTGAGAAGCAGGGGTTTTTTATAACCCCTGCTATATATGACCTGCTAAATGGAAACAACTTTTCAGTAAACATTTCTAAAAAATGTGTAGGTGTACAACAGTGTTTTCCATATTCTCATAGGCTGCATCTACACGAGCCACTTACTGTGCAGTAGCTTGTTACTACTGTGCAATAGTGTCGTTGGGCACGAAACATGACATGATGCTTGTTACTACTGTGCAGTAAGCGTCACTAGGCAACTGTGTCAGAACACTACTGTGCAGTTACAGTGGTTACTGCACAGTTATTTAGTCCTCGGTTATGCAAGTACTAAATGACTGCACAGTAGCAACTGCGCAGTCAGCGTCTGTGTAGATGTAGCCTTAGAGTGGGAATTTCACTAGTACTCCTTGGTGACCTAAGTTGACTTCCATTGAATTTACTAGTAAGAGTCCCATTTATCTCAGAAGAAAATTAATCTAATACTTTGTAAGTTTTGGACTTCTCGCTCCTCAGCTTTAAGGAAAAAAAACACTTGTTAAGTAAAACATCAGCCCTCATATTTTTAGAAAACTTTTGCCTGGAATTCACAATGGGACTGGAAATCAGCTCCTTTGAAAATCCCAGGATTAATGACTTAAGGACAGGCTACAATTTAGATAAGTGACTGATGATTTTGGATGTCTTGTTTCCTGGGAGGAGGATAATTTAAGAGAGACAGACATACAAAAAATTTTGAACATCCACAGTGTGATACTCCTTTCAAGCATCTTACATAGGGTACTCAAAATCACCAGTCACTTTTGAAACCCTTTCCCATGGTCAAAATAAATATGTTTTAATACAAGAAGCCAATTTTGTGAGATGACACAGCTTTCTGTTGATAATGACTAGGGTTTTCACTGCTTCCTAAGTGGGGGTGGAACACTTTCTTTCCATCCATTGTAATAGAAACTAGGTGTTGAGAACAGCTTTGAAAAGCAAAACCCATTTGTTCAATCCTCCTTTTTGATGAGACTAGAAAAATGAGAAAACTAGAACGGCTCCTAAATTGTACTGTGTTAACATATTAACATATTAGAAAAAATGAAGAGAGGGCAGACAAGTAGAGAAATAAAAGGAAAACAAGACTGTGACAATAAGTTATGTGGAGCTACATTTCTGTTTGCAGTAGTGAGAATTTAACAGCCGGTACCCAGCAGTCAGGTCATCAGGTTTCAAAATATGCAGTCTTTAAAGAGCCCTTTCTCCTGTATTTTAAGTACCTCTTAATCCCATTTTATCCAGGACAGGCGGGCTGTCAGGTCTGGATGGAGTAGAAAGGGAAAAAGTAGAACAAAATAAAGACAAATACATAGATTAGAATACATTTCAATAAGCATTTAACAAGTCAATCTTTCCGCCTCTTCAGAAATCCAACTTCATTCATCCAACTCTTCCCAAGTGGAGCCAGTCAGAACTATTAGTTAACTAAAACACTCACAAAGCCTTGATGCCAATGACACCCACTTGTGTTACTTTAAAAACTGTTTATTCACAAAAGCCAAAGGTAAGCAGCTGGGAACTGCATGCAAATGCTGTACTATATACAGAAAGAGGGCTGTGTTAAATGATGTAGCATTATTTATTTTTCCAATCATTACCCTGTAGTTGATAAAACTAACTGGGAAAGGTGAAAAGAGCTATGTAACATATTAGGTTGTTTTTCTTTGAATAAGTGGCCAATTTCTTTTTGCATTCTCTGTGCCTTTAAAATTCTGCTTTCTAGAATGAAAGAAAAATGGTTTGTGGCAATGATTTCTCTATGGCCTGTTACACTTTTCAGAAGCACCCAGGTGACACAAAAGTGATGTACTCAGGAACCTAAGCTCATTGAATCAAAGGTGCCAAGACTCCTAAAGTTCAGATTTTAAACTACTTTTAAAAATGTCACTGGATATACATCTACATCATTCACCAGCTAATGTCCTTTAAAAATCTGGCCTTCAGTGTATGAGTCATTTTTGACATTGGGACAAAAGCTTCTAAGTCACTTAAAGCACTTTGGAAAATTGTATCCCTTTACTGATTTCAGTGAAGAGATCCCAGTTTTACTCTGGTATAAGCAGGAGCATAATTCAACCTACATAATTCAGTCAGATTGGAACAGAAACAAAAAGAAACAAGCAATCCTCCCCTTGAAAAATAAAGGATTCCAATTATGTAAGTGACAAATGGGGATATTAGATTACTTAGATTTTAAAAGAATCCTGATACCTCAATGTAATTTGTTTAATACATTTGTAGCAGTGAACTTTTATGCAGTGAAATATGCAAATCCCTAACTTTAAGCAAAAGTAGTTGTGTACTTAGAGTAGTTGCATGCTCACATACTTTGTTGTCTCAGGGTCAAAATAACTGATATATAGAAAATCACTAACAAATTTCAGCATTTTATACAGACAATTTTCAATATATGATAATGCAGCAGTTCTGTAAAGAACTGTATAAAGGATAGACAAAATATGAAATGCTTTTAAAAATAATTCTTTCTGAGCTCAAAAGAATTGTTTCTGTTTATGATATCTCGGTCACTTACAGACCTTTAAAAAAAGCATTTTTTATGTGAACTGACCAGTTTGTAATTAAGGCAGCAGAGCACAGTAACACGTTTAAAACAGATTTTATCCCCATAGATTCCAGTTCCCTGTACATTGGATAACTGCAGAATTTGCTCAACTGCAAAGCACAGTGACAGTCCCAATTTGTTGCTTATTTTCATTCTAACAAACACTGGTTATCTGTGTATGGGTTAAGTACATAGATGGCTTATGTGCATAGTATCATTCAGCCCCATTGTAACATGGCTCTATTCTCATAAAGGGCATAGAGAGGGGGAAGGGGAAGCAACTCTCAGACAGTTGCTATTAGAAGCCTTGAAGCTATTAGAAGGGAGCCAGTTAGTTTCAGGGCTTCTAATAGTACCGTTGAAATGTGACTTTCTCCTGTCATTTTCAGAGTCTCTAAGAGCAGCCCCAAAACAGATGATCAGAAGCTCTGAAAAATGCCAGCAGCTGGTCAGTTTCATGGCTTGTACCACCACAACCCAGACAGCACTGTGTACTAAATGAGCATTGTTTATAGTAAGTTTGGAAAAGTACAGGCTTCAGATAAGTGCACAGCTTTTCTTTAGGCCTGTGGCTATCCACTTGAGCGGCATCCACTGAACTGATTTCACACCACCACAACAAAATTGCAATTGTAAAAAATTAAAATAAAATGCTGTGTTAGTCAAGGCCTCACACTTACCACTGGTGTTCCATACTGCGTTTCTGTGGCTTTGGTATCCATTTTTCATGCACTGTTCCACATAAGATTTGGGATCGCAGCCTGACATTAGGATATCACTAAGCAGTGCAATGTATGCAATGGCCAGCCTGAGTGTGTCGATTTTGGAGAGGCGCTTTTCATATGGGAAAGTTGGTACATGGCATCTGAGTTCATCAAAAGCAGAGTTGATGCTGAGCATCCTCTTTCTTTCCCTAATATTAGCTGCATGTCTCTGCACTTTGTAAGGGTGAGCAGGGATTAGCCTGTGGGTTTTATGCTGCTCACTTGTCTCTGGTTGGGCCAATAAGGAGCTGTCCAGTTCAGCACTCCCATCTAACTGCAGAGCTTGTCCATCTGCATCTGTGAGTGATATCTGAGCATCAGCAAATATAGACCGGTACGTAAGAGGAGGCCAAGGGGAGACCTGGCCTGTCAGAGAAGAACAGTCCATTTGCAAATTCTCCATCTGAGTTTGGAGCTGGCTATTAGAATCTGCCTGGCCCCAAAATGAAAAATCCATTGCAGAGTCCTGTTCAAAATCATAAAAAGTCTCCTCCATCATTTTCCTTCCTAATAACCTTTTAAACAATTAAATAGAAATAGTCACAATTTCAGTAGCTGAAACTAACTTACACTCAGTGCTGTTATTAAAATGAGGGGATTCTCTAATTAAAAAAAAATAAAAATACGCTAGTTAAAAATAAACACCAAAATCAGATCCAGGTATCCTGCATTTGTCTTCTGCGTAGATGATTAGTAAGAGTGGACACTGGATTGAAAATCCAAGTGGATCTCATGATTTAAATACTTCTAGGCTCCTCAGAAGGATGGCTGTCTTCTATTCTTCTGAATTCAAAACTAATTAGAACATGTGCTTCTTGCTTTATTAGCTGTCAGCTACAAAGGGATATGAATGAATGTAATGAATAGAACTGATTTTCTATTGACTTTTTCAGTGAAAAACCCATTGAAGTAATTATCAAGTTTGTCCCCAAGTTGAGTCTTTCCACCTAATATTTACAGACAGGATCACACAGTGAGGTTTTTCTTTTTGGTAGGAATAAGTTGGAGATAACATAATGTAGCCTTTATCTTCATGGTAGAATGTTAATAGCTACATATTATTCTACTGACTGAAAAACAATATCCTATTATGATGCTGTCAGAAACACATGATCTTGTCCTCTTTGATACCAGGAACTGGTTGCATCCTCTGTATTTGTAGCAGAGAAGATGGTTGAGAGAGAGCCTTTCGTGCAACCTCAGTGCTAAATAGGAACCACTGAGCCAATGTTGCTTTAAAGTGTTCTCACATTCAAATGCATACAACACATCCTAGATTACATTAAAATATATGCTGCTTTGTAGCAGGCCATAAGAAATGCAGAAAAATAGCAGCACATGGAACAATCATAACAGACCTAAGCCTAAAACATCCAAGCAGCTCTTTTATGTTGTTGGCTTCCCTTAACTTTTGCTGAAGGCAGTGGGTCATACCCTAATAACTATTGAATAGTAATGGAAGCTGAAGCTTCCTGGAAAAACTTTCAGGACTAAAGCAGTCAAACTGGGAGTCGCTCAGCAGCTTCTAGGACTGGAGTCCATTACTATTATTTGTAATTTTGATTCCTACACCAAGACTGTCCAATCAGTAGCCTAAGAGGGGCCAGCTTGTGGCCATCCAATGGTTAACATGCAGCCCACAGGCCCCTGAAGCTACCTCTCTTATTGCTGTGCACCAAGGGAAGGCTGCATGCCTGTAGTGCTTCCCTAGGTGTGAGGGGGGCTCTGCATTGTTGGTGTTTCAGAGACAGGGAGCCATGCACTGCCAATGAAGCCTGGGGAGCAAGGGGGTTGCTCACTGCCAGTACAGCCCAGGGGGCGAGGGGTCTGCATGGTAGGGGTGGGGTCCCCAGGGACTGCCTTTGCAGCATATGGTACATACACCAAAGATGCACAGCCACGGCCTACACAAAGTCAGTGAAAATCCTTGCTCCAAAAGCTTTAGGTTTTAACAGGTCTAGGGGAACCAGGGGACTTAAAGAAGAGAAGGGGCTCCCACATTAAATCAACAATGCAAAATGTCCTGTCCTTTTGAATGTAATAAAGTGTCAGAAATTAGTCAGAAATGCCAACATGCTGGAATGTGACTGTACTGGTAAAGGCACTGTTATGCAATAGGAGGATTTATCATCTTTAATATTCTATCTGTTGTGACTTGACAAATGAGACTGAAATTCCTAATTTGGTGAGATAATACTTTAAAAGGCATTTGGTGTTTAACTCCATTGGTTTCATTAGGAATTAGGTGTCTTTATACCTTTGAAGATCTGCTTTATAGGCAATTTTGCAGACTTAATGCCAGGGAACCAAATATATTAGGAATCTTTCTTTCCTAAATGAATGTTATATCCTCATAATCATAACTTGCTTCTTAAAGCACTCAAAATGTTTTGTTTAATTCACATTACATGAATCAGCAATCGAGAGCAAGGGTTGGCAACATTTGGAACTGTGGGGACCACTTCAACAAAGCTTAGCTCCAAGTGTGGGTCTTGTCTGCAACCATAGTCCTGCTCCCCACCCTGTAGCACTGCTGCTTTGCCTCTCTCTACTGCCTGGCTGCTGTGCAGGAGAAGCCTCCTGTCATTGAAACACTGCCAAGACTCCCAGGCTCTACAGGCCAGATAAAATGGCTCTATGGACCAAACCCAGCCTGAGGGTTGTAGGTTGTTGACCCCTTATTTAGAACTCAAATTTAGGAAATGTTTAAGCATATGCTTAACTTCAAGCAGGTGCATATGTTTTCTTAATTTCAATGCCATTAAATAAAAGGGGCTTCAACAAGTAATTAAAATTAGGCATGGGCTTTAATTCTTTCCTGAATTAGGGCTTAAGAATAAAGATTCCAGTTCATCGTATGCTTGACTTTAAACATATGCTTAAATCCCATTTCTGAACAAAGGGTAAAGAGTCCTGTTACAAGGACTATAAACCACTTAAGTCTCATAGAGCTTAGTTGGGAAGATCACGATTAGACCCTTTTTCATTTCACCCCCCTCCATGTTCCCAACTCCAGGGATGGGTAGCACCATCAAAGGACGGTCCCTCATCTCTTTATAATAAATAAAGACTTGATGCCTGGACTAACAACTTTTTCATGAGAACAGACTTTTGTTTCAACCTAGGAAACACCTTACTAATTGCTCATCATAGTCACTGTGGATCATCAGAACTCTGAATGCCTGTTGTCTTGCATTTTCCATGCACTACAGTGTTGAAGAACGTGCTGGCAAGAGACCCCCTGCAAAGAGAATTGCATTGTCTGAACCATCAGTAGCACCTTTTTTATGCAAATCAAACAAGGAACTCAAGAGTCCATGAGAATAAAGCTAAATAGGCTGTGTTTCTGAAATCTGGCTGACAAAGAAATGTGATGTTACAAAGAACTAGCAGGCTTTATTATGCATAAAATTCAACCCATGTAGAGTCCAAGTTGCCACTTTAGTCCTCGTCTGAGGGCTGATGTAGTACTGAAGTAGTACACAAACCCGGCACAACCTATGCCAAGGGACAAAATTTCACCCAGACAGAATGAACTGGCAGAAGCTCAAGGGGACGGTCATTAATACTGATATCATGAAATAACCACCCAGAGGCTCCAATTGTAATTGCTTTCACTGTACACACACAGTGGGAGCCAGCCTATTGCCAGATTGCTTGAAATCTAAATAGAAACCACAGACCCAGGGCAGGAGAGAAAGCAGAGTTGCAGCAAGGTGGAGTGATTTGTCCCAGGTCATAAAACAAATCAGTGGTTCCTGAGTCCAATTAAGCGACACCTTGTTTTTAAATCCAAACTAAGAAAGTCCTAAATATTTCCTATATATTTAAATTATTTTACTAAAAATGCAAGATCCATAAATTCATTCCTTTTAACCAGGCTTCTCTATTTCCCCTCAAACAAACTGTTGCTAATCATAGATTATCTCCTACCACAGCTTCGGAGACTTATAGAAAATGTATGCACTCTCCCAGGTGGATTCAGAAGTGAATCAACATAGGTAGCACTGGTAACATTGGAAATGTCTACATGTGTATTTACACGTGCCTAAACTTCATGCACCTTTGCTTAAGGATCATTAAGATGATTTAGGCACGTGTATACACATGGACATCTTAATGCACATTAAGGCACATTACATTTAGGCATGAATAGCTAAGTTGCATTAGTGCATGTGCAGAGGCACTAATACACATTAATATGGTATATGTCCATTGACGCATACTGCATTAATGTGCGTTAGTCCATCTACACCTGCACTAATGCAACTTAGCTATTTGCACCTAAATTTGATACCTGTATGAAATTTAGGCTTGAATATCCTAAAATCACCATTTTAAAGGCACATGAAGGATTGTGCACATGTAGAGCATGCCCTTAGTGCACCTTCAGTTGGGCTATTATGCATTAATACTCATGTACAGACATGCCCATTGAGTACCATTCATGCCTTTGAGAGGCAAAATGCAATTTGGCTGGGCCTTAGACATCTAACTGCTACCTAGGCCCCTGCTACATGTTACAAATATTACACAATTAACTAGTTAATTGCACAACAAATTTAGACTAGTCACACATGCAAAGTAATTATCACATGATAAAAATGATGATCCAGCTATAAAAAGAGCCAATCATCTATAAAGTTAGTGCTTGGAAGTGTGTAACAACTTTATAGCTGGTTTCTATCCAGCTTTAATTTGAACATGTAGCAGGGCCCTTAGACGCATCATAGCTGAAGTAGACTTTTTATCTTAGGTGTGTTCACTGGGGAGAGGGAGAGAAATGGAAAGTTCTTTCCATGTTCAGAAGCAATGATCACTCCCCCTGAGGTTGTGCAATGGAGGGAATAGTAGCTGTTCCTTTATCTGTCAGCTCACACTTGCTGCCAGGACCAGCAGTTCCTGTTGGAACTCAGCTCTGCTAAAGATAGGAAACAGTGAAATCTCCTTTCTGATCACTCTGCAATTCTGTCCTTCACTGCTATTACCCAACATCCAGACATGCAACTTTTCTTCTGCATTATCAGCCATCCCTTTCAGCTCCCAATCCTTCCCCTAATGAATTCATTTGCAACACATCAGGCACTATGCAGTATGAGTTCCCCTCTGAGTTTGATGTGCTAATAAGGGTCTCTTTTAGGCTCTGTCTCTTTTACTCAAAGTGTTGAGGTTTTGTGCTTTTAACTTTCCAAGTCCCCAGTTTAATCCCTGGTGCACTGGCCAATATGGCAGTCATCATGGAGCTGGGCCAGCATTTGAATAGCTCAGACCCTGAGACACAGAGGGCAAGCTTCCTTTGTCCAGGGGCAGCATACAGCCCACAAGTCAAAAGCTCTGGCCCTGGTACACTCTCTGAATTCAGACCTGGGACAGCAGGGCTATGTGAAGCTTCGGGTGCTGATTTGATTTGGAGGAGATATGGTCCAATTCATTGGCCGAGTCTCCAAATCTGAATTGAATCGGGACCAATTAAAAGGTCCAAACTGATTCAAAGCTCTCCAAATTGATTCTGAAAAGATTTGGAGAGCTTCGGTGATTCGGGCAGTCCCTGCCCACTGCA